AGATAAAAAAAACAACAAATGCCATTAAATTATTTGTAATAAATTTTTGTACTTTTTTAAGTAAACGGTAGTCTGCTTCGATATTTTTTACTGACGGGATTATTAAATCAATCATTCAGATTTTTATTAAGTCAATTATTTATAGACAATATTTTTTGAGAATGAATAAAAGTATCGAAGAAAGAGATACTCGCCAATTTCTCGTATATCACCAGCATATGCATAACAGTATTGCCATTCGTGTCCTGCTTATCAGGGTCCGCACCTCTGGCTAATATAAGCCTGTAACACTCTTCCTGACCGAGACATGCAGCGAAGCTTAACGGATATTCTCCCCAATACACATATCTATGGACATAATGATAAGATAGATCGTCTAACTTTATTGAATAGACATGTGACACTACATTACATTCTTGATATGACGCGTCTTGACAAGATATGTTAAAATCTCGGATGATCGAGTCTGTGTTTCGAAGAATTTAATTGCGATATTTAGATCACATTTAGAACTCAAAACAAATGTTGTTGTTCAAAATTAATAATTTATAATTAAAGAGAGAATCCTCCATAATGAAATTCTTTTTGTTTCATCGTTAAGCGAGAGGTAACGATAATTTGATGTCGCTTTTGAAGAAAAGAAAAGCATATACCCGCTGTAATTGGTTTCTGGTGAGACACACACCCACTCGTGGTCCATATTGTCAAACCTTGACGGCTTCTGATCTTCTGGGCTCATGAAGTTGCCGAAGCACCTTTCGTGAATAATGCGCGGATCGTCTGCTCCGCTGTCGAGAAGGAACTTAACCATCGATGGATCCTCATTTACGATAGCGATATGCAAGACATTTTCTCCTAAATCCGAAATAAATCGGTACATATATAAAACTGTAAGACCGAAGAGAGATACAAATCTTTTTTCAACTAGATTACATTTGTATGAATTAAAATATTATATTCGTATACAGGGTGAACCATAAATATATTTTAAAATTTCGTGAGTGTGTTCCTTGATAAAAAGAAAGACTGTTTCTACGAACATTAGATTGCAAATACTTCGTTATCGAAATAATGGAATCTTGTACATCTGCAATAATATTTTTGCAATAGTACGTTTTGTTGAAAGATTTACGTGATCTGAATTCAAAAGAACTTCTTGATTAGAAAATCTATAAAAGCCGTGGAAGCCCCTTGAGGGAATAAGTGGTTTACCTTGGAAATGCTAACCATCCATTATGTAAGCGATATTCTATGAATAAATAATTTAATCGGAATACTTATCGGGGAATTTATCGGTAACGGATATTCTACGCGCACAATCTATAGATTGCCTTATATGAAGAAGATTCAATAACAGCTTTAATTCACAGCATTTAATCCATTTCATAATCGATGATCGTTACGTGTTTCATAACAATCACAGGAAGACTCAAACTTACCATAGTATTCGTCACTTAGATAAATATCATTTATAAGATTCGGATAGAAACGCAGCAGTCGTTTTGCCAAATCAGCATGGATGGCGGTCGCATGCAACATGCACAAATGCAAAATGGTTTCGCCGACAGCACCTCTGTCGCTTAGATTCCAACATACCAATCTATATTTGCTTTTATCTATCAAGAATATTTATTTGTTAGATAAATTTTTATACAGCTCGCAATTCTGCACGTAATTTAAACTGTAGAATTATGCTTGCGTAGTTTAATGATGTATATTGTAACTAGCAAATACCAATTAACAATAATATAATTGTTAGTTGTTATAATTTTCCACTTAATAATACAGTGATAATATAATATAACAATTATATAACATGGAATAGTTATATTAATAAATGGTAAATTATAATTAATTAATGACAATTGTGTTACTATTATACTTGATGTTTGCTGAGAACGAAGTTAAACTCATCGCAATATTACCTATCTTAGCTTCATCAACTTCCTCATCGCCCATGTCTTTATCAATATCGTAATCAGCTGGATTTTCCATAGCTTTTAAAGGCGGTAGCTGCACAGTGCGAAAGAAAAATCATTTGAAACACCGATATCGTAATCGATAGCGTAGTAGCGAAATTAGTCGCTTACCATTTTATGACGCGGACGATCTTTATTTCGTAGAAGGACCAATTTTTCCACTGGTATCCATTTACCTTTCCCTTTGTTGTATAGAAACGGCTCGACTTTCGTTCTCATCGCGTGATCCAACTCCGCATACTGCTTGGTTTGCGAGGCTCTTTTCATCATGTCCACCAATAATCCGCCACCTACAAACCTTGTTAGATAGCTAAATATTGGACTTGCGAAACAGCCGACAAAAAAAAAATGAAGAATATAAAAGTATAAAAGTTGTTTCTTAAAATGAAAAAAGTCAAAATAATGAACATAGCGTTAGTCAAAACAGTTGTCAAACAGAGTCAAACAGTTAGTGACGTGTAAAAGAGATTTAAGACTTATTTAGAAATAATACATAAAATTTCAAATTCGGCTTTTCTTTGAGTCATATTCATTGAAAATATCACATATTTACACGAAAATAACAATTCTGCTAAAGCATTGAAAAATTTAAATAAATACGAATCTGAAAACAATTTGTTAGACCACCAAAATAATGCAGAACACTCAAGATGGCTATTAGAATGTCAAAACTTTTTGCAATATATGGCTTATTATGTTTGAGAATCCAATATAAATATAGTTCAACTAAATTAATTGTTAATAAATTAATCGTAATAAGAATTTAGACCAATAAGAATAAATATAATTAAATAAGAGAAAACTTATATTTTAAATCAGAGTTTGGTCCTTAAATATTTCGGTGTAAATTTATACCAGCGCGTCGTCCAATATCGTTCGACAGTCATCCAACAAGTGTGTTGTTATTCTAATCATTTACTAAAATTTAAACAATTCAGCCGGAAAAATCTCATCATATGCCATAGGTTTAACTTATAATCTTACGTGCCTTGACTCAGAAATGAAAGATATCGTATGAAATATTATGGCTCTGGCAAACAGGACGCGGTAACACTTGCCGCCGAGGAGAAATTAGCACAATAGCCAATTATATGCTTTCGCTTTTATGGAAAAGGAATAAACTGATTAGCTTTCACGATAATTTCCGCTGCGCGGCAGGTGCGTTCTGAGTGCAGTAGTCATTAGCGGGAAATCCCTGTCGAAAGTCGGCGCGAATTTCGGAAGAGACGACTGTAGAAGGTCCGCGATGATTTACGGTCGCGCGACCGTACAGGATTAATTCGGCGAGCGGCACGTGGACGCACGTTGCGTCACGAGTGTAGGTATTTGGATCATGTCGAGTGCCCGAAAGCTATTATATCGGACACATATACATTAGAACTCCGTCCATCAGCGTCGGAATCGGTGCGGTGACTCACGGATGATAAATACGGGAGAGGCGGAAGAGAAGCAAAGAGCGGAGGGAGCTCGGCGGCCCTCGCGAGCCATCTCGATTGGCGTCAATTCCTCGCGGCGCATCGTTAGGAACGCGTGTATGCCGTGACGGCATTCCTATTTTCGCGGTCAAGGAGCCCTCGGCGTTTTCCGGCACTGGTTAAAAATGACACGTGCAATTACGTTGTGCGTGGTAAATCAATGCAATCTGTCGACTGGTGATGTCAAAACACTCAAACCTAAAGAAGACTTCAAGTCAAGAAAAGAGTTTTTATGGCGTCCTGAAAGACAAAATGATGACTTCTGGTTGAACGATTTGTTAATTTTTTTTAATTGATTATTTTGATCTATTTGTTAAAATCATTCTCAGCTTCCTATTATTACTCTAAAACTTAAATGCTCAAGATTTATGCAAATCAATGACCCAATGACACACATTGTACTGATTCTAACAGATTTAACATATGGTTGTGCTTTAGATCAAAAGAATAAAATCACGATGTTCTAGTTCTCTTATATAACAGATCCATGAAAACATTGTAAGAATTCATAATTTAATCATGCAACATGCAGGTCCTACGACTTTAGAAGCAGCAAATAAGGCTGTGGCGATTGTATCACACAACTCGCATAAATTATATTTGCAAAATCATTCTTCGCTTCGGGAGTAATACGCATATATATATATATATAATGTATATATATATGTATACACATATGTATGTGTTTACACTCTTATTTTATGTATACAAGAAATCAGACAAGACATGCGCTCGAACTATAAACGGACTATAAATGGATAAGTACCAACTATACAGATGAAACAAACATATAATAAAAGGCACGTCAATGCAGATAATATAGGGACACTTACTCTAGACCATCAATCTTAACGAGATTATTGTAAACAGCGCGTTGAACGCATCCGGAAATAAGAGAAAGAACACTTTAAGAACGTTCGGCGTAATTGGTAAATGCTATCAGACTGCATATAATTAAAGAAATTGAAATAATAGAAAAGGCACATACCTTCTATATCCAAAAAACTTTAATTATTTCTGTCAATATCCTATATATAAATTCTGTAAACATTTTTTAAATTATATTTTATATTTAAAATTTATTATATAAATTTATACAATTTTAACTTAATTTTACTGATTTGTGATTTATAATTTATAGTAACCGGTTTTAAACAGAAGATCCTTTTCTCTCTCTTAAACAAGATTTTTTCTACGTTAAAAAAAGATTATCTTTCGATGCGATTTCTCAGATGTTCAAGGCGAAGAAATATAATAAATAGTCTATTTTTCATTCCTGTACTAGAACATTTTTCCGTTTTTGACAAATATTGTATATATCTATTTCACTTTAAGTTTTAAAAATATACACGAATTACAGCTACAGAAAGTAGACTTACACAAAATACGATACATTCTTTTCCCCTACTTTCCCGAAGACTCTCTCCAACAAGTTTTGTGTCATGTGCGAAATTGATGGTGGGACGGCGGAAGAGGTCGTCGGCACATCAAAGCACATGCAACGCCATCTTGTACAGTCTGGTGCAAGTATTGCATGCACCGTCGCGGCAATTGCTGGCGCAAGTCTGTGGGAAGAGCGAGCGGCCGGGATCTCCATCGCGGCTACTGTCAGTGATTAAACGTGGCACGGTGCGGCCAATACGGCGTATCATGGCGCAGTGGAGACAGGACACGATATTAAAGTTGATCGGTGCATATCGCGCGAGGCGGCTGCTCTGGGATCACAATGCGCCGGACTATACTGATCGTAGCAAGAGAATCTACGCGTGGAAGGAAATCGCCGACGAGGTGCGCCAGTCCCGACCTCACATATACAGTTAACCCTATAAACTATACTTAGCGTCCTTTTTAAAACGTGTCAACACATTCGTTAAATTTTTGACCCTGCAAAAATATCAATGTCGCGGACATTCAATAACGTTTTATTTCAATGCGTAGAAAATTAGATGTTTTAGAATACATCTGGATATATTATAAATTAATAAAGAGAAAAAGAAACGAGCAATGTTCTTTTTTTTTTTTTTTTTAAAGAGTTGCGTTATAACTAATGATAATTTTTAATTAACGAAAAGAAAGCGTTTTATTTTGACTCCTATATATATTTCGCGTTCTGTGTGTGTATCATACATATAATTCGTGATGCACGCACGTGCGCCAGAAGCACGCTAGGCCGGGTGCAAAATACATCTCGGGAGTGTATTCCAGACACGCGCGTCCAACACTTGCGCAAGTCGTTGCGCAATGCTGGCGCATCGCGAGCGCACGGAGAGTCTTTGCCGCCGCTGTGCCCGCTGTAAACAGAAAGCGAATTTCTCGCGTTGCATAGAAACCGCGTTTGCGTAACGGTTCGCGCAAAAAGCATCCACGCTTCACTTATTTATTACCGGATTATGTAACGTGCCTTCGAATCCACCGTCGGGGGCGTGTTCTGGCGATGACGTGAATGTCAAAAAGAGAAAAACAAAATAAAAACAAGAATGTACGGTGCGCTCTTATCTCATTGCGGTTTGCACTTGTCAGCTCGGATACGACGTGATGACAGTGGAGAGGAAACTGAAGAGCCTGAAGACTCACTTCATGTCGGTCCACAAAGCGTACGCGAAACGCAGGCTCAAAGCTGATTCAAATCCTGGCAGTGTCATCAAGCCCAAGTGGTTTGCTTACGAGGCCTTGACTTTCCTGAATAAAGGGCGCCTGCTGCGAATCAATCGCGAGACGCCGAACATGGAAAAGCAGGTGCGCCACGAGCTCCTGTGAATTTTCCGCGATTCCCTTGCGTACAATTAGCATACGGTTTGCAGTAATATAATTAAAATTAAATTAATATTACTCTTTTAGAATAAATTTTTAAAAAGTAAACTCTCACTCATAAAAATTGAAAATTATACCATTTTTATATGAAAAAAAACGATGTTGAAATACCTAAAAATTTTGTTGGATACAGATTTGAAATAATGATGTGGAAGCTTTAAGTATGATGAGTAATACTGCAAATAGTTTTAACATTTTAACAATTAGTTTTAATGTTCTACGTAATTATTTGTCTAATGTTCAACAAAATTATTTTCAGATTTGTATCTAGCTAAATTTTTAGATAATATTATACTTCAGCAAAATATCGTTCTTTTCGTGAGATTTTATTTTAAAAAATTTAGAGAGTATATAAGCTTACATGATTGAAAAGGGAGGATTTTAGTTAAATGATAATTGCAACAATTCTACTTGTCAATTCTGTATCTCAAAAGCATAAACATTCTGCAAACAGTTTCAACGTTCTAGCAATTAGTTTTAGCATCTTACATAATTATTTTGATGGTTCAACAAAATTTATAATTTATATGTTTTAATAAGTAAGGATATATATTATAAAGACTATAAAGAATTTTATTTTATAATTGTTTCAAGAAAATGATTGTATAATATCAACAATAAGATTATTCTAATTAAAAATTTATATTGTAGAATTGTTATTCATTGGAACTTTGTTGAATATAATATCAATTTGTCAATAACATTTATTTTTAGATCTAACTGAATTTCGAAACACTTCAGCAAAACTATTCTTTCCTTGCAATTAATTTTTTAAAATAATGTCGCGAATCGCGTTATTTCACCTCTCGCGAAATGAAATCATAAGCGTTTAATTAATTCACGATGTCTTTCTTTTAGAATCCCGCGCCCATCTCTAATTGGAAGCAGCAGGTATTTCATTTTTTTTTAATATATTAATTTCCAATAAATATCAACTAACAGTAAGATTATATCAATATGATATTTTCCTATATATTCAACATTGTATTATAATAATTAATACGTATAACATGTGTGCGTTATATTATACGTGTATTGTTGAATAAGAAATTATAATATCGATATAATGTCATGATAGTTGATATTTATCGGATTAATTATAAAAGTCGTGATGTAGCGCATTATTATGTTGTATATAGGAGTTTACATTGTATAGGAATTCGCAAGATCTCCTAATCCCGATATGACAAACGTACATACGTGTCCCATGTTGAAAACTTTCGATCTATACGACCTGTTTGTAAAAGTCCTCGGTCCTATCGACATCACTTTTTCTTTCCACGATTTCAGGAGATTCCGTCAAGCCGTGACGAATTTACGGTTTTTGCCGAGCACGTCGCCATTCGGCTGAAGAATATAGTGGACGTGCGTGCAAGACTCGTCGCACAGCATCAGATAAACAATATTCTGTTTGAGGCCGAGATGGGAAAGTATAACATGCAGTCCTCCTTCGTTTCGGACAATCCACAGATTATGGAACATTTGGACGAGCCCTCGACGTCGAACGAGGAGAAAGTGATGATAAATAATATTCCCCATGCAATCTAATTGGACCTTTTCCTCCGCGAGTGCGATCGTTATATCTCAGAATTTTCGCGAACAAGTTATATATGGAAAGAACAATTTTGTAGAAATAACTAAAAATTTAATTAGATACAAATAATAAAAATATGTACATAGAAAACTCAAGCATGACGAGCAATGCAATAAAAATTATATACAAATATTATATTCTAGCAATCAATTTTTGACATATTTTTATAATCAATTTCTTATGTAATTATTTTTGTGATAAAATTATTTTCAAAATTTGCATTTAGTTATACTTTTATATTCAACAAAACTGTTCTTTCTGTGTACGTCTCGTATTTACGTTATCTACGTGTCATTGAATTTTTACGGCGCAGTCGTTGATAATGATAGTGATCTCTTTTGTTACTCGCTGTAAATAATGGTGAATGACGAAAGCCATCGGTTAAAAACGACGGATCTTCAAAAGACCGCGAGAACGTTTGGCATGTTGCTGAATCTACTCCGCCAGACGTAACTCTATTTATGTGCCTTCGTTTTGCCCGGCATGTCATATTCTTCGTCGTAGCAAACCGCGAAAGCCGCGTCAAAAGCCAGCTTTCGTCGAGGGCGGCCAATATACGCTGACAACGCGAAATGCGCGTCAAAAATCGGCAAATGCAGCGCTTTCATTTTTTCGTTCTCTTATTTCAATATATTTCCGTTCCTATTCAGTATATTTCAAGTGTAAAGCAAAGTAGATGTAACACTCACTTATTTACATACAGTGCATATGCATTTCATGAATTATATTTATTTCATTGTTAATTATATAAAATAGTAATTATTTTATTTCATTCTGATAAATGAACCCACTTGTACTTGTGAGAATTAAATAAGAAAGAAATAAATTGATTATTGTATTGTACATTTTGTTATTTCGCTCACCCTTCAAGTCGACTAATTTATAGAGCAGGATGGACGATGTATCCGTTTGTTTCTTCACGCTGCTTGCAACATTGCTCTCAGTATTACCCATCGTTTATACAAACACTTCACTTCCAATGTTTAAGTGCCTGTAGAGGAGATGAGCTCTCGTATATCGAATGTGCGGCACAGTGTGCAACCGATAGGAGCCAATATTGATAAACGCGTCTGTTTGGTTGCTAGGATACCGCAGTCGATTATCGATTAAAGGGACCTTTAAACACCTTTTGCTTTTGTATTCACAGAGAAATTTGATTAATTTAATTTATGCAATTTACTCCTTCTGTTATTTCATCTAACTGAATTATGTAATACATTTACATTCTCCTCGTTATCATGAATCAAGGAATGATCGGTTTTAAGACGGAACTTAAAACCGTCGAAACGTAAAACCGCAAAAAGATCCGCAAATTTGACGGCGGAAAGAATTAATTGCCAGACCTCAAAAAAGAATTTGGTACAGGAAATCCTGTTCTTGCGATTCCACAAAATCCTGTACCGAAATCCGCAGGAATTATGACTTATGTCTGCAATGTAAATGTAGATTAATCTCGGTTTAAATTACTCTTTGTATTTTTTTCCAGTTACAAAAATTAGAAAAAGATAAAATATAAATAAAACTGAGATTAATGTTAATGTACATTGGTAAAAATGTAAATATTGACATTGTATAATTAATAAGTATAATTGGTAGAAAAATAAAACTGCACAGAGATTAAAATTAATTTACATTGATAAAAGTGTAAGTATTAATATTGTCTAATTAATAATAATTGGTAAAAAGACAAAATTGAGACTAAAGTTAACCCTAGTAGTACATAGTATTGACGCAATATTGAGAAACAATATATAGCTAATATTAAATACTAGGTAAGGATTGAAATTCCGGTATTGGTTCAATACTGTAACGTAATCATATTTAGTCAATATTAGTTTTCAACAATATTGTACCAATATTGCATGGAGATTGAATTTTTACCCAATGTTTTATTGGTTGTATATTATTTCCCGATATTGGCGAAAAATATTGGAAAACAATGTACAGCCTTGGAGGAAAGATTTCGTTGATATTTCATTGAAACTTTACTGAAATGTTAAATTATTTTTCGTTTTGAAACATTTTTTAGTGAAATTTCAGCGAATTGCATTAAAATTCCAGAAAAATCGAATTAATTAATTTAGTTTTATTTTACTAAAATAAGTAGGTACGTATTATTGATTAGTATATTCCAGAGGATACACAACACTAATCTATATTGATAGAAATGAATATTAATTAGAAAACATGTTGATAAATTCGCCAAACATATACATATAATCAATCGATCGTAGCAGAGAAAAATAACGAAATATGTATAATGAAAATAAATGAAGATGAAAAAAAACAATAAATAGCCAATATAAGCTCACGCGATTGTTGAACAATATAAATATTTATTATTAAAATGTAACATGTAACTCTCAATTATATGTAAAAGTGCAAATGTTTCGACCATGGATTTTGATTTTTCTTAGTACAAATAAAATCGCAAAAAGTTATACATTGATCGAGAAAGCGATGCTAAGCACAATACGATCTGTTTAGTATCAACAACGCATGGACTTTTATTGACTACTTTGTTTCTTTTTATTGAAATAATATATACAAATGCATTGAATGCTTTGTGCCAAATTAAATAGCAATAATAGGAATGAATTTATCGACGTTGCTTTATCGTGTTGAAATAGATTGGTCGTGCCGCTTTGATAAAATCGACGTTATCATTTAAATGCTATCGTGCTTTAACAATACCATTTATACACAAGCGTTATATACTATAATATATATGATTTTCAGCGTACGCTTTTTTTTCAACGAAATTGGAGAGAATGCAGGATGGCGAATTATGGTTGACAGATTTATAAGTCACGGTGAAGATCAAGCTATCTTGTGTCGCGCAGGTCATCGGTTTCATACAACACAATTGCTCAAAGAATGCAAGGTTTGCGAGAGACCGACAATGTAACAAAAACATTAACACCATTTAGGCGTGTTTTGATTCTCGCAAGCTCGTCATATAACAAAGTGATTTTAATAACTCATGTTAGAGTGGATCAATAAATGTTCAAATGAGAAACGTCGATCATTTCGCCGAACAACAAGAGACGTAAATTTTCTCAAACGATCAGTGTTCGATCCGTAATTTCATTAAAGTTCATGGATATATATATTTTATGAAATGCATTTTTAAAAAATTAATAAATCAGCAAATTTGTATAAAATTACGTTTAATGTACAAATCCTCTTAGCTCTTTTGAGTCGAAATTCTGTTCCTACTTTGAACCTTTTTAGGACGTATGTAGATCTTATAGAATTATAACAGGTTTTAATTTATATGGAAATGTAGTTCTTACTTTGTATCTCTAAATAGTAGTTTTCGGAAAATTTTCTATTTTTTAAGATTGAAAAGAGATTTCTGACAAAGCCTCTTAAAACTTTCCACATAAATACTCTAGAAATCCGTAGCTAGATCCTTTAATTAAAATTTCCTGTATATATATATTTCCTGTATATAATAATTTATTCGGTATTTCCATAGTAATACAAATCATTGGCACAATTATATTGGCGTAAAATTGGCCACCAATATTGGCTCGCATTTGAAAATAGACGCTTTGAATTCTCTAATCAATATTGAATTTCAATATTGACCCGATCTGATATGTTCCGATTATTATGAAAACGTCTATTAAATGTTGATCGTTTAAAAAAATTTTGCATATCTCATAATAAAGATTCTTGCCGGAACGCTATAGAATTTTCTTTCGCTCGATTAAAAAGCCGCGAGTGATTTTCACGCATACCTAAGAAATGACCGCGCTTTAATTTAGACACGAATGCAAGTAGACGACGCAATGCTGCAATTGATCTACACGTTAAGCAGTTATAAATACACTTACGAGTCGTAAGCTGCATTTACGCCGGCTTACTGAGAACGGGTGTACGTGAATGTACAATACCTTGAGCAGGAAATTAGATTCTATTATTACGTCGATGGTCTAGGACAGAATGCGAATTCCATTTGAATCCGAAAATGCTTTCGACGTGCTGAGTTCGATCTGCAATTTCATTGAAGTTCTATGAATATATGGTACATACCTCATGAAGTATCATATATCTTAAAAATCAGTAAAACAGGTAAAAGTGCGTTTATAATAAAGCAATTCTGATTGCCGATATATTCCGCGCGATTATTATAAAGTTTTTTTTTATGGAATCTTAGGGAGAGAAAAAAGAAAGAAAGGATATTTTATAATACTAGTAATAAAAAGATAAATAAATAAATAGATATGTAGATAGGTAGAGAGAGAGAAAGGAAAGAGAAAGAGAGAGAGAGAGAAAATTACAATATTTACTCAATGTTAATAGATAGAGAGATAACATTACAGTGTACAATATTACAGCAACGCTTGTACGTTAGATTTAAAGCTAATATTTAGACCATGTTCGACAATATATTTCCAATACGTATCAAAAAATCTAATATTTAACGAATATATCGCTTATAAATTGCGTTACTAGGAGAGAAAAGAAGGAAGAAGAGAGTTAGAGATAGACAGATGAACAGATAAAGTGTTTATTATCATGTTTTAAGACAAACCTTCTAAAATATATATACAAAAGAATTTAAAAAATAAATAAAAAGCAGTAATGAATAAAAAAGAGAAAAAGTAATAATTACAATATAAAGAAAATGAAAACGAAACAAAAAAAGCAATATTACAAAGAACATAAGAAAATATACAAAAAATAACATAACATAAAGAAAAAATACAGTTTTATAATAATGTGATACAATAAAGAAAGTTAAAAACGGTATGAGAGAGAGAGAGAGAGAGAGAGAGAGAGAGAGAGAGAAAGAGCTTGATGCAAGAGTAGCTCAAAAGCTGAACTTCGAACTTACCTTTCATTTTCTTTCTTTCTTTCTCCAACTAATTGTGTACCTACTTTGACTATGGAAAAAGAACGTAGTACGACTAAGCAATTGTATAATTCCGCATATTTTGAAAATGGAAAAATTAAATATAAAGGAACAAAAAAAAAACACACGATTGATTACCGT